GCAGCTGGCTTACCCACAGTCCCCGCCTTCCCACCCGCCTGGCCCAGGCCTTCCCTGCCCCCGGGCATCGTTTTGGTAGGAAGGTTCCCGCTCCCCTGCCTGGCCAGGCTTCCAGGGAGCCGGCGGGCTTCAGGGGGAGGGAGGGAGGCCCCCACCGCAGGCCTCCCAGCCTGTTTCCCGTCCCACCCTTGAGGGACGGGGGAGCTTTCCCAGGGCAGCCTGGAGGGACTTCCCAGGTTGGAAAGAAAGGCGCTCCGGCCAGAGGAGTGGAGGTCCCTGAGCAGAGGGATCCCGGCTGTGTCACCAGAGAAGACACAGGACACCTGGTTAAAGTTTAAACTTCCGATAAATGAGTACTTGCTTTAGTCTGAGTATGTCCCAAAGATCGCACGGGATATACTTATACTAAAAAAGTTATGTGTTGTCAGAAAATCAAATTTGTTTATTTATTTAGTGACAGGGTCTCACCCTGTTGCTCAGGCTGGGGTGCAGTGGCACAATCACGGCTCACCGCAGCCTCAACCTCCCAGGTTCAAGCAGTCCTCCCGCCTCAGTTTCCCGAGTAACTGGGACCACCATGCCTGGCTAATTTTTAAAAAATATTTTTGTAGGCCGAGCACGGTGGCTCACACGTATAATTTCAGCACTTTGGGAAGCCAAGGTAAGAGGACTGCCTGAGCCCATGGATTTGAGACCACCCTGGATAACTTGGTGAGACCGCATCTCTACAATAAATCAAGAATTATCTGGGCGTGATGGTGTGTGCATGTAGTTCCAGCTAGTGGGAAGGCTGAGGCAGAAGGGTCGCCTGAGCCCAGCAGGTCAAGGGGGTGGCCGTGAACGTGCCCCTGCACTCCAGCCTGGCGACAGAGGGAGACTCCACCTCAAAAGACAATTTTTTTTTGCAGAGATGGGGCCTTGCTATGCTGTCCAGGCTAGTCTCAACCTCCCGGCCTTAAGCAATTCTCCGGCCTCGGCCTCCCAAAGCACTGGGATTATGGGCGTGAGCTGCTGTGTCTAGCCTCTGAAAATCAAATTTAACCGGACATCCTATTTTTGTTGTGGTTTTGCCAAGTCTGGCTCTGCTGAGGGGGAGGCAAAGGCCCAGAGCGGGTGAGCTCGGGCTGGGCAGGAACCAGGGCCTCAGAAGGGCTGCCCTGACGATGGCGGGAAGACCACTGGGCCGCCAGACACCGGGGAGCACATGGGCTTCCTCCCGACAGCACAGGGGCCGGGCCACACTCAGTCGCCCTGGCCCACTCTCCTGGCGTCACGTAAGCCGCCTGGGTCTCAGACGCCCGATGGCCACGGCCTGTAAAGTAGGACCCCGGGAACACACTCACGCCCACACCCTTGCCCGCTCAGAGATCCTTCTAGAACATGAGTGGGTGTGGTGGCGCCTCGGGGGCGGGGACTGCTGGCCCCTGGTGAGGTCGTCAGGGCCAGAGTGAGGCTGCCCCGTGAGCCTCCGAGTTCTGACCCAGACGGGCGGGCGGGAGGGAGGCCGGGTGGGGAGGGGGCGGAGGGCCTCACCAGCCTGGAATTCCTCCTGGCATCCTTGTGGCGTCCGGACAGGTGATCCAGCTCGGCCTGCTGTGCACTCAGGTACTCCCTGCAAGGAGGTGAGGAGGGCGTCAGAGAAGGAAAAGCAGCGGGCGAGGCTGGGCGTGGCTTGTGCGTGCAGTCCCAGCGCTCGGGAGGCCGGGCGGGAGGGTCGCTCGAGGCCGGGAGTTCAGGCACGCCTGGGCAACACAGCGAGACCCTGTCTCTACAGAATGCTTTGAAATTAGCCGGGTGTGGTGGCGTGTGCCTGTTGTCCAGGCTACACAGGAGGCTGAGGTGGGAGGCTCGCCCGAGCCCAGGAGCTTGAGGCTGCCGTGAGCTGTGATCACACCGCTGCACACCAGCCTGGGTGACAGAGTGAGGCCTCTAATCTCTGAGAGAGACAGAGAGCCAGAGAGATGGAGAGACGGAGAGAGAGAGGAGAGAGAGATATCAAGGGTCTAGACTTGGGACCAGGGCCCCCATCCTGTCCCGTCATGGATTTGCTGGGTCGCCCCAGGAAAGTCACTTGCCCTCTCTGGGCTCCACTTATATCGCCCCAGATGAAGAAGAGGCAGCTTCCGCCAGGTCCCCCGGCCTCCCCAGGAAGAAGGGCGTCCACACATGCTGTCCTTCGGAGATACTAGAAGCTTCCCCGGGGACCTCCACCCTCCACACACACCCAGCGCCTGGCGCTGGACTACAGACACCGAGCGGCCAGCGCCCTGGGACTCGGCACTGCCCCTGCAGACACACGCAGGAAGGCGGCCGGCTGACCGGGAGGGAGTGACAGGCGGAGGCTCAGACAGGATCCTGAGTGTCCTCCCGAGGGCCGGGGGGAGCCCCAGAGGAGACTTGAGCAGAGGGGGGCGTGGCAAGTGGAGAAGGCCAGGCAGGGGCTGTGAGGGCAGCAAGGCAGGGGCCGAAAGACCGAGGGAGGAGGGGGACCTGAGCCAGCCCCACAGGGAGAGACGGGTGTATTCAAGCTCACAGGAGCTGGGCCTGGGGCTCTGAGGCGAGAGGACTGCCTGAGCCCAGGGGTTTGAGACCAGCCTGGGCAACGTGGCAGACCTCGTCTCTACAATAAATAAAAAAATTAGCCAGGCGTGGTGGCGTGCACCTGTAGTTCCAGCTACTTGGGAGGCTGAGGCAGAAGGATCACCTGAGCCCAGCAGGTTGAGGCTGCTGTGGCTGTAGTGTGCCATTGCACTCCAACCTGGGCCACAGAGTAAGACCCCAACTCAAAAAAAAAGTCCATCCCCAAATGTGTGTCACCTCTCGGGGACTCGTGGGAGCATCGCGCAAAACCCAGGACGTGCCCTCAGCCTCCGTCCTTAAGGAGATCACAGGGCCTACAGTGACCCACAGGGCCAAACGAGGGCCCGGCCGTGGCCTCATCTGCTGCCTCTCCGTGCTTGGCTTTGGATTTTTTGTTTGTTGTGAGCTCTGGTGATCTTCCTTGGTAGGAAAATACAAAGTTAAAAACAAGGAACTGGGCGCAGTGGCTCAGCCCGTAATCCCAGCACCTTGGGAGGCCGAGGTGAGTGGATTGCCTGAGCCTGTGGGTTCGAGACTTCGTCTCACAATAAATCCAAAATCAGCTGGGCATTTTGGTGCGTGCCTGTAGTTCCAGCTACTTGGAAGGCTGAGGCAGAAGTATTGTCTGAGCCCAGCAGATGGAGGCTGCAGTGGGTGAGAGTGTGCCACTGCACTCCAGCGTGGATAGCAGAGTGAGACTTGGACTCAATCAGTCAATCAATAAGTCAGTCAATAAATAAATCAAATCTTACAGGAGGCACTGATGGCGGCCAGTCAGCGAAGAAGCCACGCCTCAGGCCGCATGGCCAGATAAACGAGTAATTATTTTAGTATGAGGTGTGGGAACCAAGAAGTTAATGATTGACGTTGCATCCCGTGTTTACAGTGACATTGATCAAGAGGGATGTCTCTGTGGCTTTCATCACAGCGTGGTGTTCGCCTGCACCGCGTGACTCATGACCAGCGCTGGCCAGAGGCTGCTCCCAAGGGAGGCAGGAAACAACAGTCCATGTCCAGACCATACTCGGCAAGCTGGGACCCCAGGTGCGCGCCCCCACACCCAGCCGATTTTTAAACTTTTTGTCGGGATGGGGTCTCGCTGCGTTGCATTCCTAGCTTCAGGCCGTCCTCCTCCCTCGGCCTCCCGACATGCTGGGATCACAGGCCTCTGCACTGATGGCCTCTGCTCCCCTGTGCTGTGGCCTCCTCGAGGCTGGAGTCCCCCTGCCTGGGCACGCCCGGCCGCAGTGCCCGGGGACCAGGCCGAGCGGGCGGCAGCACCCGCGGCTGGCTGACCAAAGGGACGGCGGGAACCCCCCAGCCTCTCTCAGACAAGCCCCCCAGGCATCCCCAGGAGGAGGAGGCGGGAGCGGGGAGGACGCGCTTTCCAGAGGCCGCAGCCAGCCCCTCCTTACTTGAGGCCTCTCTTCAAGGCGTCACAGATCTTCTTCACCTGCTGGGGCTGGGGGTCCGCGCACACCGGCGTCTTCCGCAGCGTGCCGTACATCTTGGAGGACCTTGTGGGCACCCGCGACCTCACGGAGTTCTTCTGCAGGGACTTCCTGTCGGGGGGGGAGGACATTGGTGCGGGGCCCCAGGAGGGAGGGGCCCGGCTGAGTCCCACTCCCGTCCCCCAAAGCTGTGTGGTCCCAATAAAGTTGCTGAGGCTCTCTGGGCCTCCGTCTCCTCATCTGGGACACAAAGGGCCTGGATGTGAGGATTAAAAGCATCACAGGAAGAAGGAGATGGTCTTTCTGGCGTCAGCAATGAGGCCGGGTGCGGTGGCTCACACCTGTAGCCCCAGGGCTTTGGGAGGCTGAGGCAGGAGGATTGCTCAAGCCCAGGAGCTTGAGATCAGCCTGGGCAAAACAGTGAGACCTCATCCCTACAATTTTTCTTTTAATTGGCCGGGTTGAGGGCACGCACCTCTCGTCTCAGCTACTGGGGAGGCTGAGGTGGGAGGATCGCCTGAGCCCAAGAGGGCAAGGCTGCAGTGAGCCGTGATCATGTCACTGCACTCCAGCCTTGGCAAAAAGACTCTGACCAAATAAAGGGAAATAAAATAAAATAAAGCCGTGAACCGACAGTGAGGAGCACGCCACATCCCAGGGCTCCCTGTGCTTCCTCCATGGGGCCGGCGCTTGCGGGCCGCACCCGCCCAGCATCCGTGCCCCTCCCTCTGGGCACCTCTTTTTCCTTCCGGGCACTTCCCCAGCTCTGCCTTTTATACTTGGGTTTGGGGGAAGATGGCGTGACCCATCAGCATGTGCCCACGCCTCTGCACACACACGCGCGCACACACACACACACACACACACACACACACACACACACAGGCATTCTGAGGCACACCCACTACCCAGGCCTGTGTGAGCTGACCCATTCCACTGCCCTGGGCCCAGGAGACACATGGACACAAGTCCAGACCGTAGCAAGCCAGTTTTGTTCAGAACTCACAGGAGGGAGAAAGTGGGCACACACACCTGGCACGTCCAGCTGCCTCCTTTGGCCACCATGGAGGGTGAATGGAGCCGGCACAGAGAGTGGTAGACAGAGTCAAACCAAATCTATATGGCAGCTCCTGGATTCAGCTATGCCTGAAGCTGGACCTGCTCGTGGACTTTGCAATTACCTGAGCCAGCAGGTTCTTATGTGCTGAGCCCATTGGAGTTGGGAGCGTGGACTGGACGGTCCTAAGAGCCAGCCCCAGAAGTGACGGCGGGGCCCCGCAGTCCTTAGACACGGCGACATCCCAGGATGGACTGTGGTCGTGCAGGGCCAGGCCCCCTTGTCCCAGCACAGAGCTGGCTTCCTTGGCATCTGAGCCCCTTCCTGTGACCCCGGAACTCTCCCTGGGGCTTGAGGACCTGGCCACTGATGTCGTCTTGGCTCACACCAGACGCTACGCCCCCCGGCCCTCTGAGGGCACTTCCCGGGTGTCCCAGGTGTGGCCTCGTGACCACGCCCTCGGAGAGCCGGACGGAAAGGACTCTCAGGACGGGCTTCTGGCTCCTCCTCTCCCCAGGGGCGGGATCAAGGGGGCCCTGGACCAGCCTCCACCACCTGGGCCCCATGCAGGCGGCGGAGTGACCAGAGAAGAAAGGCCGGCGAGCCTCCGGGACCTGCCCACCACGCCCTCGGCCACCCGTGGGTCTGGACCCACCGGTGCACGTGCCTGCGTTTTGGGGCTGTGTCTGACCAAGCAGCGTTTTCTGCACTAGCACGCCCCCCAAGCCTCAGCTTTTCCTCTGTAAAATGGGGGGAACAGAACCCACATCGGAGAGCGGGGCTGAGCGGTGTGCCCGTGGCCAGGCCCACCATGGGGCCCCAGAGAGGCCCCATCCACGCTCCCATCGTCCTAACACCCATGGCCCACCGGCATCTCTCCCCGGGTTGCAGCCCGGAATCGCAGGTGTCTGTCATTACGGAGCTCAAGGGCCAGGGGATACAGCGGGGCCCTGGCTTCAGGCTCCCAGCTGGTCACGAAGGCGGACCGGACAGTGGGCACACCCCCGGTGCTCCATCGGGGGACAGAGGGGGCGGGTGGAGAGGGAGCCGGAAGGCTCGGTGGGCTGATGGCAAGGAGAGGGCTGGATCCAAGCAGGTGGGGGCTGCTGGGAGCCTGACCTGGGGCCAGGAGGGGGGCGGGGGCCTTTCTCCACTCGTTACCGTGACACCCAGAGCCTCAGGCCAGGGCAACTGGGCTCCGCCTGGGGCTGAGTGAGAGGCAGCCAGAGGTCCACTCTGAACACCTGCTCTCGGCAGGTGCTCGCTGAGGGCTCCCTTGAAGCCCTCCGTCCCACCTTCACTGCCTCCCTAGGAGGCTGGTGTCATTCTCGATCCTGGTGCAAAGCAGGGAAACTGAGGCTCAGACCAGCGACTGGCCACAATCGTGCAGCTTGCCGGTGGTGGAGCTGGGATTCAGACTCAGGCCGGTCCTCAGCTGAGGTCTCGGGGACCCACGTGGGGGCAGAGGCAGGGGTCTTGGGGTCCACGCGGACCGCTGCCCCACCCCATGCGGACGCGTGGGCCTGGGTAGGGCCCGGGAGGTGCCTTTCCCATCGGCTCTGGGTGCGTCGGCGTGGCCGGCCCGGGGGCCACCCCGAGGAGCACTGTCTCGGGGAGTCACCCTCCCTGTGTCCCCCCCCCCCGGGG